TCTTTGGGCTCCTTCAGTGTCTTTATGTATCTTTGTCGTCAGTTTGTGTCTCTTTGAGGTTGTTTTATGTCTCTTTGGGCTCTTTCAGTGTCTTTATGTATCTTTGTCGTCAGTTTGTGTCTCTTTGAGGTTTTGTGTCTCTTTGTTGCCCAGTTTGGGTCTCGTTAAGGCTGTTCTGTCTCCCTGTGGTCATTATGTCTCTCTTTGTTGATGGATTATGTCTCTTTGTACTTTGTGTCTCTATTCGGACGTCTTTGTTTTGAGGGTCCTTGTGGATCTCTCTGCTCTTTGTGTGTCTGTGTGGTTTACAGTAGGCCAGTTACACCGCAGGACATCCACATGAGGTTGGAGTAAAGTTTGCAGTCATGTCTCCAGCCACCGCGCTGCATCTCACCGTTCTCCCCCTTATCAAAGAAGTTCCAGAGTTTATCTGCCCTCTTCTCAGCTGTGTTTTCATCATCAGCCAAAGTGGCTATCTCGTCTTTAGGAATCAGCTTGAAAATCGCCTGTTGGGGAAAAAAAAAAAAAAAAAAGACAAACTGGTTAAAAAATGAACAGCATTTGACTGTTTTATGGGTTATGAGAGGATGGAAACCAAAATGAAAAAACATTAGTCTGTATTCTAATTTCGTGATTGCAAACAGAGAAAACCCCTCTCAATAATATCCTCCATTATCCAAGAGTCTCATCTATACGTTTTTCTTGGAACACCAACCAACTCTTTCCTCTTTGTTCCGTGATTATATGACCTGTCATCTTTAGAGTGTAAACTTAGTGGCTATGAATTGGCTCGCAGGTGAAATCAGGGTCCTAAATATACTATATAATGTCTTTGACTGAACCCAGCTGTGTGTCCTTCACGCTGTCGGGTCGGTTCCAGTCTCTTTAACCCAAAATGTTGTGAATTATAAACCATTTCCTGATTGTTAAACAGATTGTATAAATATCTGAAGGATTTTATATTTCAACTTTTAATAATCTCATCAGCTATGAGAAAAAAACTACAAAAAGCTGTCAGCGGCACGAATACTAAAACCACTAACCGCTATTGCAGGCTGTAAAGAACAGAATTAAATCAGTGATTAATTATCTTATCCAGCCTGAATAAAAATTGGGATTTTTTTTTGTTCTCAAACTCACTTTTCACTTTTCACATATAGTTTTCTATAGAGGGCAGAAGTTCATCTAAGTCAACTCCAACTTTATTTCATACACAGGAGAGGCTCTGTAGCAGTAATCAAGGATAATAACATAGAAGATACAGACCACAATAATTCATCGTACCAAGCGAAGCTGCTCACCGGCAGAAAGTCGTGTGTCTGATCTGTTTCTGTTGCTACTTCCTCCTCTGCATTGAGTTTCGAACATCCATTTATGTTCTTTATTTGTATATTGTCTTTTCAAAATAAAAAAAGTATTTTTACTCAGCCTTTACTTTTACGGGGATTTCTGCAGCAAAACAATTGGAAAAGAGTCGTTGTTTGGTTTAAAATAAGCAAGTTTGTTAACTCATGCGATGCCTTTATGAGAAAGGAGCAGCAGCCTCACACGTATGCAGAGACTAAACGAGTCCACTGATGAGGCGATGAAGGATTAATCAGCCAACATGATGATATTTTGATCACTTCGTGTCTGACTGGTTAAGAGCTTTAATGACGAAAACCTCCGATGCACCAAAAGAAGCAGAATGTCAGAGTCGCAAAGCGTCCTTTATGCAGATGATACGGTCAACTCTATTTCATTCTGCAAACAAGAGACGGTTTGAGTCTTAATGTTGGTTTCATTTTCAGCTTTGAGTGTCATTAATTACCATTTCATGTTTGTTCTTATCTGAAATAGTCTTTCTCTTCGTCCTATATTTACAGATCCTTCCCTCCTCAACCAGAAGCCCTCTGAAGGCTGAGCCCTTAAACTGTTTATCAATCAAGTCTAATCTCGCGTCTTGAGTTACCTAACGAGAGTAATACCGTAAGACGCCATACTCTCGGGGATGCAGGTCAGTTTGGTGAAGGAAGAAAAGCGTGTTTTTCCTTGAGTGGGTGCTGACGAGGATGGAAGCTGCTCTTAAAAACAGTTGCACATTCCAATAAAGTGACATCTTTCCATGAGATGATTCGCCCCAACACCACCTGCCGCTGGGATCTCCATGTGGCTTTAGATGCCGTACGTATCGCATCGCAGCTCAGCAAGTCATGATCTTTCTCCCGTTCCCCCCACAGTTAGGAGAGAGCGTCCTCTGCCCACCTAAACCACGTTCAATCACCCGGAAAACTCTGCAAAAGCCACAAACAGATTCACTCAAAGCACTGAAAACCTGGTGGATTAGCCTTAGCATCTGGTAGCTTAGCGAGATGAAAGATCTGGACCACGGCGCCACGTCCTGTTCCTCCACAACTCACCGTGCAGATTTCCTTGACTTCCGACTTGGTGATGTATCCGTTCTTGTCCACGTCGAACAGCGAGAAGGCCCACTCCAGTTTACTCGTGGTCTTGCCCGTTGACGTCATGTGGAGGGCGATGATGTACTCCTTGAAGTCCAGCGTGCCGTCGTCGTTGGTGTCGAAGGAGCGGAAGACGTGCTGGGCGTACGTTTGGGCGTCGCTCTCCGGGAAGAACTTGCTGTAGATGTTCTCGAACTCTTCTTTTGAGATGCGCCCCGTTGGACACTGCCTCTTGAAGTTCTCGTACCACTGGGCGATCTCCGTCTCCGTGAACTTGGTGGAGAGTTTCAGGTCTGCCAGAATCTCCTTGGAGACGGCGCCGCTCTTGGTGTTGCCCATCGTGGACGGTGTGTTGGCGGGATGTTTGCGTGTGCAAGCGAGGACCTGATCTTCTGGAGGATTCCACGGGCTGCTTCCACTCCTCGGCTGCACAGTCCTTCTTGATCCCGGTCGTGGCCGACGGCTCAGTCCACAGAAGCGTGTGCTGTGGAAGGAGCAGAAGCAGCCCGGTAAGCCCGTTAAGCCAATCAGCCGTCGGTAATACCAGCGAGAGGTGTGACAGACGAGGGTCATCGCAGGTCGATGTCTCCGGTGTGCTGCTCCAGACACGAGTGAGCTGCATTAAGCCAAGTGAAATCCCGTAAACCGCGTTATTATTCTGTGGTAACGGACTCGAGCACCGAAACCCAGGAAGTTAAGAAAAGGGTCTCATGGTGACACTCGTTATTATTATTATTATACTTATTATATTGAAATAATAATATTAATTTCACTAATAGTTTCACTGTTCTTTTTTTATTAAGACACATTTTGATGTCTTCTATAATGAAGCAATTGATTTCTTTTTTTTTTTGCAATCAGAACAATGGTTGAGTTGTAGCTCACCAAAAGAATATTACGACACGATGAAATAATAATCGTGCGCACACAAGCAATAAAGACTCTGTGATCAATTCTTTCCTCTCAGACCTTAAAAATGACTCCTGCTAAAGGTTTTATGAACTAATTGCTGTGGATGAATCAGTTAAACTGCTATGATTCCAAATCTCATTTATTTTGCAATCTTCCAATTGAGAAGTTACCTTAATTAACATAAAACGAGGTATAGATATGAATATCCATGTCAAAATTCAATGTGCATCTTTTCCCCCCCCCCCCTCCTTGACCAACCAGCCTGTCAGTGGAACAGAGAGTTTGAAGTCCTTACCTGTTCAGGGATATTGAAGAAGTGTTTCAAGCGAGGGAGGGAAGATGCCGTCCCTGTTTGCAACAGGACGAGGAAGGCGATGTTTCTGTGTTATATACACAAAAATGTGATGTATCCTGTTTCCCACCTCAGGATGAAGTGTTAAGATCTCTTTCTCACCCTCCGT